TTAGAAATAAAATGAACTAGTGCTATGAGAGATCAGGCCTGATCTTGCTAAAATTGCGATTTTGTGTACATTGTATCAGAGGTGGCAGTGATCAGAAAAATTATACTGACACTGCACTTGTTGGGGGGAGGGGATTTTAAACGCAAGTGCTGGCAGTGATTTTGGGGGTCACAATACTAATGGGGACACTAGTATAGTTCTGATCATGATCAAAATACTGATCCATTTAGACACTATACAAGTATTGGCAGGGATAAGCAACTTATTGTGTGACTGCGATGGTGCTACCTGACCCTGGCTGGGAGGGAGGCTAACTGACTCTGATGGTATCTGACACTATCTTATGTCGCTGGTGACACAAATACAGTGAACAGTGATAAATGCTGTACACTGACACTGTACTAATGGCACTAGCCGGTTGACAGGGGTGATCAAAGAGTTAATAGAAGGCAATCAAAGGGTTAAATGTTACTAACAAGGTTGTGGGTGCATACATGTAGATAGGGCTTCCCTAATAAAGCAAAGAGGAACATGCACTTCACAGTATTTTATAGCTACTAATATTGTAAAGCACAATGGAAATATGTTCTCTATGACAGGGTGAGATCGGTACCCAAAGATCTCAGATTGAGAAAACATCAGAAAAATCAAGGATATTGTAAGGCATTTACTTGTTGAAGCTGTATGAGAACTCAATACTGTGGAAAACATTGTTTTGGGAGAGGGATGATGTTATTGTGGCTGCAGTGGTTCTTAAGGCAGGATAACATATGGTTGTGGTGATAAGGGATGAAGAAGGTTGGGTAATGGTGGTAGAAGATAGATATGGTAAACCCGTTGTGGTCAGGGCCATCTTTAAGGAAGAGCAAAAGGAGCAGCTTCCCTGGGCCCAGTCATTGTTGCCCCCTACTTGCCAACTGTCCTGATTTACATTCCCTTGTCCCTTGAAGTCTTGGCCCTGTGTCCTGATATCTCAGTGTGTCACTTATGCCCAGCTCTGCCCTATTGTCATGTATACAGGTGACTCACATGTGCAGACCATGTCAGCATTCACTTGGAAGCAACTGGCATTCATATGTAAAATAGTGGTGGCAATGTGACATTCATATGTAAATAGTGGCGGCATTCATATGTATATTATGCCCCCCTGAGGTTACAGCCACCATCACCTCTGCTGAATGCTGCCCACTGGGGAGGTAAACAGGGGCATGCTTTAAAGTGCTGCCTGTAACTGTGGTCACTGAGCCTACCATGAGCCTGCTCTGCAAATGTAATTAAAGTGGGGGGGAGGGGTGCAGAGGTAGGCAGAAAAGCAATGACAGTTCAGAGTGCACCGTGGAGCAAGGAGGGGATGTACAGAGGTAAGGAAGGTGGGTGCAAAGATGAAGCAGAGGACGCATGTAGAGTTAAGGAGGGGAGGAGGTTGGAGTGGAGAGGGTGGGGGAGGTTTGGGGTGCAGAGGTTAGCAGGGAAATTTAGGATGCAAAGGTGTGCTGACGGGGTGGATAAAGATATACATCACGTGTAGGTTAGCCAGTCATTTCAATGGACTTCTCTCGGTGCTAGAAATGTGGAAAAAAAAAAGCCCTTGACCCTTTTTTTGGAATCACACCAAGCCCTACAGTGCCACAGCACCATGAATTTTGGTGCATGTGAAAACACGCACATCAACAGATGTGTAAGGGTGCCATTAACAATTAATGGCACTGCCGTGTGTCTGCTAAAGGGCAGCACATTTCTGTGGTGTCAGGAACGCAATGTTTTCATGTGTTACTGACATGCACAAATTTTAACATAGGCTAAATGTCTCAATTGCATAGGTGGTCAGGGTATATCTTCTTATTACATTGGAGCATGGTGTAAAATACTTTCATTCACACTAGTGGTCAGTTTGAATGCCCCCTTACATTGGTGGTCACTGTGAATGCTCCTATTACATTAGTGGTCAGTGTAAATTTGTAATAATATGCTGTAACCTCTAGCAATCAATAAGTAAGTGGTAATGATGCACAGTAACCAATACAAACCAAACATTGAGCAGAAATAATGTGCAGTAACCTCTAGCAACCAATCATTGAGCGGTAATGATGTGCAGTAACCTATAGCAACCAATCAGAGAACAGTAGTGATCTGCTGTAATCTCTATCAACCAATTAGTGAGTGGTAAGGATGTGCAGTAACCTCTAGCAGCCAATCAGTGAGTGGTAATGATGTGCAGTAACCTCTAACAACCAATCAGTGTGTGGTAAGGATGTGCAGTAACCTCTAGCAACCAATTAGCAAGCAGAAATCATGTGCTGTGACCTCTGGGAACTAGTCAGTGAGCCGTGGTGTGTGCTGTAACCTCTAGCAACCAGTTAGTGAGAGGAAATGATATGCTGTAACCTCTGGCAACCAATTGCAATTCCTGCCTGATCTGTTGCAGTAAACTCAGTTTGAGTCTAGCTGCTATTTATTATACTTCTCCCGAGCAGGTGGGGAGTGAAATTCCATACAGGGGACGAAGAAAATGTTTGCCCGGGGTCCAATCAATATTAACCTCCCTGGCGGTCTGATCATGTCAATATTTCTGAATGTCAAAGCATTACATTGTTTTCAATGGAAATTTGTTGTTTTTTTATTGTACGCCTGTAATTCTTAGGAATAACTCACTTAAATCTGTCCAAACAAGAGTCTAGTAAGCATCCTGGGTATGATAAAGTTTGAAACACGAAATCATAAATTATAATATAATAAATAATTATAAAAAAATAATAATATAATAATACATTTAATTCAATAATGTAATCAAACCAAAAACACTGAAATCTGAAATAGAGCATTAAGTTTGCACCTTACTGAGCTCAGTCGCAGAATCGTCACCGTCGTCACTTTCAGTGTCTGATGACGAACAAGTGATTCTAATTCACTATCGCTGTTTTCTAGCTGGTCTAAAACCACTTTTGACCTAAAGGGATGCTTTTTGGATGCCATGGACGTTCTCAAGTTTCCAGGCAGAAAGAGCGGTAAAAGTGCAGGCATTACACTGGGACAAAGTGCTAGGGAAAAAACTGAGGTGAAATGGTTTGATACAGCAATGTAATCCTAACAGAATACAATGTATTGTGTGTATGTCATGTTTTTACTTTTTTGAATCTCCCTCAGGTTCCACCCCCTGCGTCACAACGCTCACAGGGAAGGGAACATGGAAGACGGATAACAGTATTGGCCGGAGGACACAGCAGGAGGACATCGGGGGATCGCAGGACAAGGTAAATTACACTACAGTCTAATCCCGAGTGTGGCTCGGGGTTACTGCTTTTGGTACTAAAAATTAACCCCGAGACACACTCAGGATAACGGCCAGGGAGTTAAAGACAGCCCTGGTTGTGGTAGAGGAAAATGAGGGTAGGCTAGTATCAAGAGATATTGAAGTGGATGCAGTGGTCCTTGTAGAGTTTGGAGTAGCTGCTGTGGTGGTTGTAGAGGTTGCAGTACCTGTAGTGGTTAGAGTAGCTGTTATGGTATTAGTAAGGCTCTGTTCCCTTTAGTGCAATTTCCAATGTGACTGAGTCCCACAGAATCACAATGGAAATCACACATTGTTTTCAGAGGTGGCCATTCACATCAATGCAACTCAGCATGGCACACTTTTGGAAAATGTTCCTGTACTACATTGGTTTGGTTCCAGCATAAATTTTACCCTACAAATTATACAAACCACATCCAAGCTGCATGCAAGTTGCACTACATACTCACACTGAAAACAGGATCAAAATTGAAAAGCGGCAGTGTGAACCTAGCCTAAAGATTATGTGGAATGTTTCAAAGGATGTGCAGATATTTTTCACAAGAAAAAAATGTCATCTAGACATTTTCAGTGTTTGTGATTCTGTCATGAGAAAAGCATTAGGCTGCCATTGCTGGGCCACTTTTAAAAACACCAATCGCCTGCTGTGTTGGTTGTAATAATTTGAAGTCAAAGATCCAGATTATATATGCTATAAATAAATGTGTCAAAATTCCCTATTTCTATTTGTGATCTGGATCAGACACTTAGAAAATATTAGTTAATTGCTATAGATATGGGTGCCCTGTACCCATATAATATCCTGTCTTCTGACCTGAATGAGGACATTTAGGGGTAGATTTACTAAAACTGGTTCACTCAGAATCTAGTGCAGCTTTGCATGGTAGCCAATCAGCTTCTAACCTCAGCTTGTTCAGTTAAGCTTTGGCAATAAAATCTGGAAGCTGATTGGTTTCTATGCAGAAATGCATCTAATTTTGTACTCTCCAGCTTTAGTAAATAAACTCCTTAGTGTCAGAAAGAATTGTGGGTGACAGCTTGGGAGATGAGGTGAGTATTACAGCCAGAGCTTTTTTTAAATTTTATTACATTTTTCTTTTGCGACACCAGACCACTTTCAGTCAGCTTTATGCATCATGCAAATAATTGATTTAGAAATAAGCTACTGCTATTAAATCCTTCCTTATTACCGCTCCAACATCCATTGTTTATTGAAGCAAGATCTGTGAGTTGCATGAAGGTGGGCCCTAATTTGAATACTCTGTTGAGTCCCATATACTGAATTACAGATGGAATTATGTCTCTAGCACACCTAAGTTTTCCTGAAATAAAATCCATCTTTAGTAGGGTATGATGAGCACTTAAAATACGTTTTTGGTTTTTTTTGGGGTTTTTTTTTTTTACAAACTGACTATACACTAATAAAATCTGATTCTTTTAAGAAAAAAAGGTGTGCTGGTGACATACTGTATTTTCTTCTGTATTGCCAAGGTGCCATCTGCTCCTTGCTTCAGTATACCATATATTGTTAGGTTGTATTCTGGTGTGCAATATGAATATCTTCATGTATCCCTGTCCAGCGCTGATGATGAGCCACTGATAAGTGATGGCATGGGTATCGTATATACATTCTTTGAACTATAGAGTGAGTAATAGTAACCTATTTAGAGCATAAACCTTGATGTATTACGTCTGTTTAAAGGTCTCAAACCTGGCACAGTGGATGGAGGAGTAGCGGTGGTTGTGGTAGTTGTGGTTGTAGTAGTCATGGTGGTGCTTGTGGCTGTTAGTACACATGTCTTAATTCCATTTTGGACTTGACAAACTTCATTAGGTGCACAAGTCTGCTGTTTACAGTTCACTTGGTTGTTTTCTTCACATGTACAGTAACTTTCACAGTGCCCTTGCCAGAACGTCTCATCTTTCTGCAAAATTGGGAATTAGGAGAAGACATTTCATATAATGCTACAATGCTAGTATATACAATTACAATTTGGCAATTATCATACAATTATAATTATAGTCTTCTCACTAAAAAGGGGGAGATATTGGTCAAATTGGTTTGAAATTCTCCAGTGAGTTGGGAAATCTCTGTTGGCTAAAATAATTGCTTCTGTAATGCAGGAGCACTATTTTTCTTAAAGATGATCCCACAAATGTCCTTGTCCAAGCATCAGATTGTATGTGATACTGGTGACAGGATTGGAGGCCATAAGGAAAAGATGACTGAATAATACCCTTAATGAGCCACTATTATACTGTTTCAGCTGTGTGACTGCACAGTAGATGTGCGGTTTGTTTTGTTCCAAATCACAATTCGGACAAAATTTTCATTCTTCAGAGCTTCAGATATATCTGAATTTCCAAATTACAATAGTAATGAATTTAAACGAATCTGAAATAACCAAACAAAATTTCATCTGAAATTTGAATTGAATTCAAATAAAATTCAAAAACAAATTTGAAATATAAACATATTGTTAACTAATGCTGATTTCCTTCAAATTTGAATTTATAAAAGAATACAATAGAATAGAATAAAACAGAATAGAATATAAAATAATAGAATAGACAACAGAATAGAATAGATTAAACAAAATGGCCACCGATTGACAGAAGTAACACACACTATTTAAGGATTATTATTCTGCCTTCCACCCCTTCCCTGATGAAGTCACACGACAGTGACACAATGCGTAGGGCATGGCTGGAGGCAGATGTGGACTACAAGTGCAGGCTACAGGTTTTTCTATGCATTTTAATGGTGTTTTTTTACAAGGTTTTAACATGCAAGTGTATTACTTTTAATAAAATTGATTTATTCGAACATACTACACTATGGGAGATTCCTCTGTTTCCCCTATATGGGACTGTGACCCCAAGTGACTCCTAAACGGGACTTGCACCTTGGTTTGGTCGAGAGACCGGGAGGAAGTAATGAATGCCCCTTGTGGATAGAAAAAATTGGAGTATCCAGAGAGTGGAGAAACTTCAGTAAATAAACCCTTATAGGCGCATTCAAATATATTGAAGGTGAGAGTTCTGTGAGCACTGAGGTGGTGCGCGTTTGAAACTAGGAGCACTTTGAATACAGTGACGGTTTTTAGGAACACCTAAGAATTTACAATGGAATTTTGAGTGACATTTGGCACTTTCAGTTTGCATTTATTCATTTTATCGTATTTACTGCATGGACTAGTCAAGACAGACACTTATTTTACAGTATTTACACATTTGTTGTATATACTTTATCCCTGACATCTGTATTTTGGTTTAGCTGTATTTCATCGTTTAGAGTTTGTGGGCATTTATTTAGGATATTAGCCCTTTGCACAGTTCACTTTGCAGCAGCGCAGCATTTAGTATATTGGTTTTAATTGAATTAATGGCCAATAAAATATTAAAGGCATTATTTTTCTGATTTACTGGTTGGTGCAAACAAAGGCAGAACAGGACACTTTGCCTGAAAATCCCAGTTTTGTTCCTTTATTAAAGCCCAATTCTGGGCTCAGCCACCTGCCTCCCAAAGCCTCCTTCCCTCCCCAGCCAAGATTCCCTCCAGTAGTTTTTATGTAATTTTTTTTTTAAACGCATCCAGTATTGGTCTTCACCTAGCAATCGTTGTCCACAATGATGCAGTGAGCTTGTCAGTACCGTCTGCACGATTACATAGTGAATGCAGTGAATGTCAGGAAGGTTGTAACATGTATAGCCAGAACCATACTTGAGCACCTGAGCAATTTTGTGGTCACATGCCAATTCTGCTCAGGTGCATGCTCATTCCTTTATAGCATATGCATGCATGCTCATTGCTCATGGCGATACCAAGCAGGCTATTTAAGTGGAACCCTGCCAGGCCTTAGTGATTAAAGGTTTTCTGCAGCATCTTCACTTCTGTGACCTGCGATACCTGCATCCTGACCCTATTGTTCCTGATACTGATCAGGCTGATCAACTGATCAACAACACTGCCACACTACCTGTCTCTATAGGAGTATTTGGACTGAAGCAGTGAGAGAGACAATCCTTGTCCTCTCAGGTTCACTGACAAGGTACATGTCAGGCATATTGGCAATGTTTGTTTATGAAGTGGAACCATTGCCATCTACATTTACAGTAGACTCTTCATTCTTCTGGGTTGAGGGATGCTGGTTATCATTAAATCTGGAAGAATGAGGACATCTGGTCATTATATGAGTTTACTGCAGATGACAACTCTGTCTTGGAGGTGAGTACTGCAGCCTAATCTGTATTTTGTTTAAGCAATGACTTAGGAACCAATTTATTTAAAAAAAAAAATTCCCAGAGTTGGTCTTTAAATTGTTAATTTTCTGATCTTATCCCTAGAAGGTCCTAACACTTTCCTTGCCCATTGCATGTTGGTGTGTATGACAAAAGCCAGCACAGTAAATCATGTTCAAAGGAAGATTATCACAAATAAATAAATACATACATAAATAAATAAATAAATAAAATAGAACGATCACCTGTCAGGAAATAGTAAATGCTGCTTCTGATACTTTCACTGCTGCTACTGCTACTGAACATGATCAGGAACAATACATCCCCTAAACACACACGCACAGTTCATACTGTTCAATTATATGTCTGTTGGTCCAACATAGAGCACAACAATATAATCCATATCATGCTAATATGTTTTTTCAACATATGAAGGTGTGATAGTGGTTTGGCAAGAATGCATGGAATCATAGAAGAACAAACCAACAACCAAACAGCTGCAGAGGCAAATATGGCACGAGCCATCTACTGTTAATAAATTGGTTCAATATGGGTTGATTCTCAGTTCATGAATCAACTTATTAATCTTGACTATCTACATATTTTTTACCTCCGTAAAAGATAATGCAATTATGGAAGACCAAAGTGCTGACCTGATAGTATTTGCCATCAAAAAAGCACCCACATTCACTAATGGGAATGCAACTGTGCCCACTGAACACAAAGCCATTACCACATTCACAAGCATCAGTACAAGGCTTATTACAGTTGCTTGGTATACGCTGGTCCAGGCATGTGGCAGGGCAAGCACTGGCACATGGATTGTAATGACTGTTGCCAGGACATGAGAGAGCTAAAGAGAAAGAAAACAGAAACTGTAATATTAAATACTTCATTATTATATTCCATCTGCTACAAAGTTTAAATAAAACACAGCTTAATGCATTATTCTCATTTCAAAAACTACATTTAAAAATCATGGGATCAGAATAATTTCTTCTTCTCCTGGTGTAATATTCCTAATTTAACTTAAGGCAGAAGACATTTCTTTCATTTAAACAATCTACGTATATGCTTGACTTTATTGATCATTTATGGCATCACAATATAATCTAATTCATGCCCCGAGTCTACAACGTATAAGCCTACACATTATTCCTATGTTAATAATACATTTTATTAATTCATGTCTCCTATGGTGTAAGAAACAAAAAAAAATAGGCAATGACTTACAAAAATGTATAAGCATAACATGCTGTAAACCAGAAATTCTTTCTTTCAATCACAAAATAATGGAATTAAATAATACATCCAGCTTTACATTGCTCATCAAGATAAGAAATGCTAAATAGATCTATATATAAACATTTGATCAAACAAGGTGTTATGCTATGGGACAAAAAGTACTTACGACAGAAAGTAGAGTTTCTCCAAGCAAGTTTAACTCCTGCCCTTTGACAGGTATCAGCATAAGCTTCTAATACTTTACATAAACTACCAGCACCAAGTGCACACAGATTGAAAACACAGCTGTCAAAGAAACGATCTGGATTGATTACTGAGTGACAAGCCTTGAAAGGACCATCTTTGCTGGTTACCAAACCACAGAACTGATTGTCTGAATAGAGTTCTTTTCTCTCTGGTGGACATGGCGGTGGTGTAGGAACAATTGAGTTACATAATGGATCATCATATTCCACTTTCCAACTATCTCCCAGCTGAATAGAGTTCTGAGCTAGCTGTCCATTGGGCATCAAATAGTCATCCTGCAGAATGCCATTAAAGTTGCCGCACATTCCACATATTTTACTGAAATATGTAGTTGGGATCTTTACATCCACTGTATGGTCAGTGTCATAAGACACAGCGAGATGGAAGTCAGTCTCCAGGACAACATATCGACCACTTTGTTTAACAGTCAGAGATCCATTGACCAAGAATACTGGAAGATTTATCCAGATACCGTCCACCTGTTAACCAATAATAAACATCAATGTTTGATTCAAGCAACTAAATGTGAGTTCAACCTTTTCAAAGAGATGTCTAAATGTTTAAAAAAACTTACCAAAACTCGACTAAGCTCGGCTTTAACAATTGTTATTTCATGATTATAGACATCCACCATAACTTTCTGTAAATATGATACAGTTGGGTTCCCATAACGATACTCATTTTTTGCTTCAATCTTAAAATATGGCAGAGATGTGGAATTTGGTGCAAAGCTTGGAAAGAGTATATGTGCATATTCCCATAAAATGATGAACTTCCTTATCAAAGGTGTGGTAGTGAGGATCCCCCCAAGTTACACAATTACCAAATGTGAGATCAAAGCAGCCAGGAACTCCATTTGTTATACCGCAGTATTTTCCAGCTGGACACGAAGCAGAGGTGCAAACTAAACTGCCTCCAGCAGAGGGGCATCTGCATTTAGTGGAGCAGGTACCATCAGTCCAGAACTCCGACGAGCCTACAGGGTATTTTTTGTCATTATCCCAGCATCCACATTGGTGGTTTGGAACACAATTCTTATCATTCAGGACATAGCCAGAATCACAGACACATGATTCTGTACAGGGGAGATGACAATTTAATTGTGCTTCTGGATTGACACAAGTTGGTGGACAGGCTGTTCCACATTGCTCATAATGGCTGTTTAGTGAACACTTCAGAGCTGTGTAAAAAAAAAAAAAAAAAAGTGAACAAATGTAACACTGTACCCATATTAATTTTTTATATTTTTTTCACACAAATAGAGCTTTCTTTTAGTGGTATTAAATCACCACTGGAGTTTTTATTGTTTGCTAAATAAATGAAAAAAGACCTAAAATTCTAGAAAAAAAATGTGCTTTTCTTCGTTTCGATTATAAAATTTTGCAAATAAATAATCATTCTTTATAAATTTAGACCAAAATGTATGCTGCTATATTTCTTGGTGAAGGCAACCCAAATCAGTTTTTTTATTATTTAGTTTGTAGGAAAGTTATAGAGTCCACAAACTATGATATATAGATCTGAAAATCGATCAGTCCTGATGTACTTAAGGCCTGAAAATGCCAGGACAATACAAATATCCCCCAAATAACAATTTTTGGAAACTAGACCAAAAAATATAAAAGGCAAAAAAAAATGTAAGAGGCATGGTGAGTTTTTTTTTAAGTTGTATTTTTTGTAAAGAAATTAAAAAAAAAGTTTTTTCACAATAGTTGTTTTTTTAACATACCTTAACCAATGCAGTACAGCAACTATACTGTACTATATTTTATAGAATTTTAAAAAAACATATTTTCGTTTACGATTTTTTTTTTTTTGCATACTGTGATCATAGTAAAACTTACTACTCTGGGAAGGTGATCAGGATTTTTTTTTACATACTATTGTTGCTTATAACAGTGATTTTCACTGTTATAAACAACCATTTTTTCTGAAATACGTCAATTCATTCAGTGTTTACTATTGTGTTTAGCTGCGATTGGCCACAGCTAATCATATGGTACAGATAGACTGTGATTGGACCTGTCTATACCATGTGATCACTGTGACCAATCACAGCAAGCATCAAAAACATACATAATAAATTGCATGAATGGAAGCCATCTATTGTGTACAATTGTCAAGTGATCTGCAATGATTAGTTACAGTGATCACATGGTACCAGCAGCTGGCCGATACACTGATTTGTCATCACAGGTGGACACAGCAGCACAGCCCATGAGGTGCGCATGAGTTATGTTCTGGGAGGACATCATATGACGTCCATCCAGAACAAGAAAGCTCCCACTCAGCCTATAGTCAAATGACAGCCAGTTAAAATTACCACCGAGCTGGTTATAAATAATGCCATTTTCTTATCACATAATATTTACAGTTTTAAAAGAAAACCTTATGTTTCAAGGAATAACTTGAGGTGCACTAAGGGTAATGTGCTTATCCTATATGGAGCACATAAGGGTTAAAATAGCAAATGATCATTAGTAAAAATAATTAAAATAATTACTACTGTTTTGTGGTAGGTTGCTGCACTCTAATTATTACCCTTTGCGTTAAATAACATACCGTAAATATAATAGTTAAATCTTAATTCCTGAAAGCAAGTTTAGAAAAAGAGCTGATATGTTGTGCAAATGTGAAATATTGCTAAGGTAGGTCATTGTGTAGTATACAGTATATAAATGCAGGAGGAGGACAGAAATATTAGGAGCAGTATCTATTACTAGTTTCATTTACACTGTCATGTACTTACGGCAGAAAAAGAAATTCCTCCAGGGACCTATTGTTACTCCATGAGACTGGCAGGACTGTGCATAGGACTGAAGACTATCACACAAGGTATCTGGATCCAGGTTCAGTTCACACAAGTCATAGACACAGTTGTTGAAATAGATGAGTGGGTTTATAACCCCATGGCAGTCTTTAAATGCGCCATTCTTATCAGTAATTATTCCACAGAAACTGTTGCTGGTAATGATATTCTTTTCATCCTCAGTACAACTTGGTTCATGTTCTGATCCAGGTGTACAACTAAAAAAAACATTAAAAACAAATTATAATAAACAATTTTGGGGTTAATTACTTTTTTAAACTACTATGAGATGTTTAAAGTGATTGTAAAGGCTTAAATATGTTTACCTTAATGTATTGTCTGCATTAAGGTAAAAAAACCTTCCATGGTCAGCTCCCCCAAGACCCCTAAATAGTTACCTGAGCCTAATCTCAATCCAGCAATGTGCCTGGGAACAGTAGTTCTCTTTCTCTCCTCACTGGACATGGAGTCAGCAGCCGGAGCCATTGGCTTCTGTTGGTGTCAGTGAATTTCTATGAGAAGAGAGTGAGAGGCTGGGTCCAGCTTTGAAGTGTGTGTACCAATAGATGCACACAGCCCGGTTTAGGATCAAGCCCTCACATCTGCTCCCTAGCAAGTGGCTTGATAGGGTGGCAGGCACAGAAGAGGAGGAGCGGATAGCTCTGGTGGGGGGCAACAGAAAAAAAAAAACAAAGAAGCAGGCTTAAAATGTAGACTCTTAAACAGCTTCTGTGAAAAATAATAAACCAAAAAGTTACCTAAACAAGGTTTAGCTAGCAAAGACACTAATAAAAAGCCTGGGTCCTTTATTTTTTTTTATTTTTTTTTTTACAGACTCACCAATCCTATCCTGCTTCCCAAACCCTCAGCCCCTATGCATCTAAAAAAATGCTTTGTGCATACCTTAAATTCAGCAGTTATCTTGCAAGACTGGTGATATCTTGGTCCCTTCATCCTCTAGTCCAGTATGAAGCTGTATAGAACTTATCATTGCACTGAATGTAATGAAATGTGAGTGCTGTTCAGTGCAGTAGTACGGTAGGCTCAGGCCAGCTTGATCATGCACACCCAGGAAGGGGATGTCCATGAAAGCCTGGGCTTAAAGAAAATGGGTTGAGAAATGCTGGCCATCATTCAACCTAGGAGAGAAGTGTCATCTAGCAGATAAGACTTTCTCTGGGAAACAGTATTGAATTGAAGATAAGCACTGGATCAGAATCATCTGTTTAGTTTATATCTGTTACTAGCAATGTTCTTTATGAACAAAATTGGGGAAGCTGTAGTTATGCCTCAAAAGGAGTGCAAGCACAGCAGTAATGATAAACAAACAAAGGGCGCATAGTGCATTAACCTTAAAATAATAGGTTTATTGTAGAAAGGTAAATATTATACTCACAAAGTCATAAAAAGTGTAAATACATCTCATTGGTACAGCACAAACAGTCCGCAAAGCATCAAGGTGTACAAAAAAGAAGGAACCTCCAGAGTCAGACGCGTTTTGAGGAATTATCCTCTTTCTCAGAGCCTGTGAGTATTTTGTGACTTTGTGAGTATAATATTTACCTTTTTACAATAAACCTATTATTTTAAGTTTAATGCACTATGCGCCCTTTGTTGGTTTATCGTTACTGCAATGTTCCTAGACCTCCCTGGTCTTGTGAGGGGAGCAAGCCCAGTGCACCCCATGAAGGCCAAGTGTTTGACTATAGCCCATTAATGCTGTTGGGCCCATTTCCCAAGTGCAGGAAGATTGAAGTGTCCTATTTCTTTGTGGAGTGCAAGCACAGTCAGTGATCAGTGATGTCAATGATACGTGACGTGCTAAAGTCCTTAGAATGAAGAGAAGAGTCAAAAAATAGAAAAGGGAAGGAGCTGGCACACGTAGAGATTACAAGGGATGAAAAAACACAAGGGGAGATTAAAAAGAAACATACACCATCAGAATTGTGGTAATTAGATTACCCAGATGAGAGCCAGAACAAGAGGAAACCAGAATATAGTGATCATTATTATCATGGATAAGTCACTTCCACTGTGCTACTCACTGTGCTTTTTCCTCTACTAGATGCTTTATATTTTAGCAATGTTTTTTTCTTTTGACAAATGTAATATTTCAAACTTTTGTGTTACCTAAATCACAGACAGACTTGGTAATTTGTTGATCGTGGTTGTGTGACTGGTGTACAATAGGTTTTTCCCGGTCTTTTTGTAGTGCTGACACTTTCTCCTAAATTTCTACTTAAATTCCTTATTCTGGTTTACACTTCAATTTTTCATCTTTTCCCCATTATTACCACATTGATGGTGTCAGATTCTGGGCCTCCCCCTGTATTTCCTTTCTCAGGCATCTCACATGCTGCTGTCTCCTCCTTCTCCTCACGTTTTTCTTTGTTTTGCCTCCTGCTCTCAGTTCTTTGTATAGCAAGCAGGGACCATCTGATTTTTGATGCATGGGCATGCTGGTTCTACTCAAGTCAATCTATCAATCTGTACAACCAGCCTGTCAGGTTTTTCCCTAGTGATCAATGCAACCAGCTGTAGCCTGCAGCTCTGTATTCTGCTGGCGGGAAGGCTTCCCACTGGCAGAATACAATAGCACAGCGGGAGTGATTTCCCTATGTACATTAAATGTGTGGATGGGGGAATTGGCCCATTTTTGTGGTTCAATGTGCTGGATGAACAAAAAGAATGAATCATGTATGACCAGCCTTAGTCTGAGCACACTACTACTAAGCCTTTCAAAGAACTGCCATGATCTGCATTAATGAGACTACTTTCTATTTTGTGTCTTATTCCCTCGCACTTCAGTGCATCTCTCAGATCATCAGATT